CCCACTATCTTGCTGTTGCCAGAAAGCTCCTTTGGCAAATGCTGGCTGCTGGCAGATGCATTTTCCATCTACACTGCAGTATTAGAAGTTCTCTACGTGATCTGCCTTCTGTGGAAGAGGTCCCCGTAGGATTTCAGATGCCCTGGCATGCTGAATGTTTCCAGAATATTCCAACCCCTCATTTTAAGGCACATCATACCTTATGGACTATGTATGTTTGGGCCGCAGTTTGCCCTTAAATTGTCCTCAACACAAGCTCAGTCTAGATAAAAGCAAAAGCAAGGGTTTATTTGGGACATACAGGAAGACAGCACCATTACTGTTTCACAGATGGACATGTGACAGGAAGGAAATGCCAGTCATAAGCTATTTGAGGTGGTATTTTAATGGCACCTCTTGTCGATACCCAAAGGAAAAGCTGAAATTTCTTCCCTAAGACTTGTGGGCATGTACCTGACACTGGTGCACAGACAGCATTTCTATTCAGTGTCACAAGTGTCAAGAAGAGGAAGGTTTGCCTTTACATCCCACCCTTTCCACATGGTCTCCCTGTCTTCCACCATGATTTCATTCTTCTTTTTCCCTACTTCTCAGTCTCAGTTTGCAAATTTTGACTTCTCTTGCACTTGATCATTCTCCAGTTCCCCTCATTGAAAATGCTTCTGTCCTTTTGATAAGGTCAATTTAGTTATCACTTGTATGCCCAGAGATGACAGCATTGCTTGGCTAAACCCTGGACAGAATAGCAGGACACTGTGAGGACAGACACTTTCCCCTGCCGTGTGGGGCAGGGTTCAGATACAAAGGAGGGGCCTTTGAAATTCTGAGCCTTCTATGTTATACAAATGTGGCTCAATAAAGGCACATATGTGGAACCAATGCCTGCAGAGCCAAAAAATTATCTTCTAGGGGCTGCTCAAAATAGTAATTGATCACTCTGGAGTCATGGTAAGTGTGGAGGTGAGAGATACTGTGACATAGCTGGTAAATACTTTTGGTGTTTGCAATTATTTCCAGGGGAAATGGTGGGTAGAGAGAAGGAACAGAGGGCAACTATCGAGGGATTCATTTTATTCTTGCTTAAATGTGGTTTCAGTTGACTTAAACCAGACCTAACATAGTTTTGTGTATCAGTTTAACTAGATTGGTTTCTATCCATGCCTTCCATTGAAATGACACACACATCTGTTTTTCCAAGACTATGGTATGGTGTGGATATATTTACTGGGCTTGCTGCCATCTCTAGGGGTATTTGGCTGACTTTGTAACAACTATAGACCAAGTTATAACTTCACAAAAGTCCAGGTTGTGTATGGCCCACACTTGGGGCTGCCAGCAAAGGTGGCTAAGAAATGTCCTTTAGAGAGGAGTGGAGCTGGTCTGAAGAGAATGACCTGAGACAGGCCTTGCTTTGTATTATTTCCTGTTCCACTTAAAGGTGTAAAGATTACTCTGCAAATGATCAGGAACTTCTTGCTTCTGCATTATGCTCTGTTGCAGCAGAAGTGTGGCATGTCCTGTGCTTGTGGTTGGCATTGGTAGCAAAGCATTCTTGAAAGAGACTTGTCAGGTTTGGTACTTGCTCACGTTGATGGATCTCTTACCTCCTCATCATTTTGAAGTTACAGAGAAAAAGAAAAATCTTTTTTACTCTGTTTCCTAACTGCTGTGTTGTTACTTCAGGGTTTTCCTGTTTGCCTGCAAATAGGGATTATTCAAAGCAGAATCACTCAATCCTTCTTTGGAGGTGACCTCCAAATGTGCAATGTAGAGGTGACCGAAATATACAATTCTCAGTTTTGGAACCATTAAGAAACCCTTGAAACTGCTAACAAGCAAAACTTACTCTGTGTAGCCAAAGCCTCAGTTATGGGTACAACTGGATTGTAGTTTCTCAGCAGATGAATAAAGTCCAATGACCCCCAATTTAAATGCAAATTATACAAGCAGATCTCTCTGTACCCTCCTCTCACATTTTAAGGATCCTTATTCCACCAAGCAGGATGAAGGATTCACTTCTATATTCTTTCTAGATTGTCTTCTGAGTATCTTTGACAGCCATGTAAGTCACAGGCTGTGATATATCCTCTAGAGAAAGTGAGAGAGTGATATATTCATATCTGTGAACATGTTAAAAACTCAAGGCTTCAAATATTAATCCTAGAATTAATAGGAAAAAAATGAAGAAAACATAAAGCTTTAAAGTTTCAAAACAAGCTTGGCAAAGTTAAGAACTTGCTTGTTAGAAAATTCTTGTAAGCAAACAGATTTGGAAAACTCAGGAATAGGTAGGAATTCACAGTCTGAACCTGTGCGTTGTAACTCTGGTTGTTCAGTTTAGCAAGGGAACTCAGGGTTGGCTCTTTACAGTGGTACCTAATATGACATCTCTCCCTGGTAACTGGTGTGTGCACTTTTCTCCTACTGAGTTGATAAAGTTTAGCTCTGGGGCAAAGGAAGACTGAAATCAAGACATTGTATTTAATAATTTATCTATATATTTTATTTCAAACAGATCATTAAATACTCATACATGCACACATATGCATTTTCACTTATTCTCCAGACATTGTAAGCAAGGGAGTCACTTTCTGCAGTCTGTTAATGAAATAAATGGTGTAAAGAGTCAAAAGCAGGATTACTGTGGGTTAAATACACCTCCTTTGTGCTGTATTTGCTTTGTGATTGTTTGATCTCTGTATTTTGGTCTTGGATAACTAGAAGATGATACATGGATTCAGCTGTCTGCCTGTTCTCCCTATTAGAGGTGCTCTTTACAGCAGGGCTAACAAAAAATAGTGTCTGTAGTTGTGTTCAATCTCACATTTTTCAGCAATTTCAACTAAAAGAGGCTGGACTGGAACTACTTGTGTAAAAGCCAACCTTCCCTTCTGCTGACCCTATTGCATATTGACAACCTGTAAAAGAGAGATAGGGACAAAGGCTGAAGGAGGTGCCATCTTTACTTACCACAGCCAAAATAGCCCAAGGTTGTCTGACAGAGACATTAAATGAACCAGGAAGGTGTTGCCTTTAAAATAAATGCTAAATTAGAAACTTACACAACAAACCTTTGAACTCTGGAGCTAAAATATGTGAGCAAGTTTGAGCATATCAGTATTGTTAAGAAGTGAAAGCAGAGTCCATAGTGGCATTTGAAAATTCAGGTTCTCTCTTTTACTTTAATGGAGACTTGATGCAATGCTTCTCTTTTATGCTTTGGAATGAATGACAAAAGGAGTCAGTGGCTCAGCAATAACTGGTAAACATTCCTCCCCATGGCTAGTAATGGGAATGACTACTCTGACTTGGCAACACAGAAATTCGCCTTTTGTTAATGTTGCCTGGGTCAACAGCAATCACTTCAGGCTGTGCTTACCCAGTGCTGTTTTTCTTCATTTTTTCTAAATCTGGGTTAAAAAAAATTAAAATTAAAAAAATCACAAATATTATTACTGTCTCAAGGTTTTCACTCCTCATTCTATTTCACCCTAGATGTGTCAGAAAGAGTCAGATATAATCTCACTTCATTCTCACCATCATATACTGACACAGAACACATCTGTCTTAACACCTAGCATCACCTATTCTCTTTTCATCAAGCAACACTGCATTAAATTCTTCCTTTTTTTTTTTTTTTCCTTTCCAGCAGCAGACCTAGATTGGTCTCAAAATCCTGCTGGATTTTTTCCATGTAAAATGATACAAGAAAAAGTTGTCCCTTATTTTTGATCCTCAGTGTGCAATCTCTGCCTTGGTGAAATTTCACCTGCCCATTCAAACACTGTCTTTTCAATTCCCTTTGCCTCTCATCTGTAATTCTCTACCTTGTTGGAAATGCTGCTTCCCAGTTCCTCTGGGTCTGTTTATTCCCTGGTCAATTTTTTTCACCACTACTTCTTTGGTCCTTTTACAAGAGTCTTCACTTTACTAATGCAGAAAGGGAATCTCTTACAAAGAGAATAACCAAATGAAAATAAAAGTTTTCACATCAGAAAACTGAATTCTTTTAAGCACAGAACTAATTTTCCTGGTTGTTCAAGGAAGCTTCCTCCAATTCAGAATGTTGCCTATAAATAATCACTTCTTAAGCTCAAAATTGTGCCATCTCTTTTTCATAACACTTACTTTCAGTTTGCTACCATTCTTGGTAGTATTACACAGTATTATTTTCCCAGGTCAGAACATGTGAGCATCCCTGCTGTGCAGAATGGTCAATTCCAACATTCGTAGCATAAATATTGTATAACGCACTGATATTACTGACACACATATATATCAGTATTTTGTTAACATCAGTGGTACAATATATGGAATCCCTTTTAAATTTTGTGCACATGATTGAAAATCCTGACACATCCCCTTTCTGCACTCTGTGGAGCAGGATATAGCTTGAAATGGTGTCCCTTCATTTTAGTGTTACTTCTGGCTTGAATCAGTGCTGCTGCACCGTGAGCCAGCTGACAAAAATGCTGAATAGTGCAAAGTCCAACATGCTTTCAGCCACTTCCCACCACGATCCCCCAAGCAGATGATAAAGCGCGTTTGCAGTGGGACCAAACAGTTCACTGACTGGGGATCTTCCTGCAGACCAGGAGAGAGCAGAAATTACCAAATTACCTTTTTTTTTTTTTTTTTCCCCTAAAGATAACTAGATAAATATGCCTGGAAATGGCAGATCTCTTGACTGACGGAGCCATCGTTCCTCGCAGCTTTTCCCAATGCCTTGGGTTACTCTGTGGCAGGCTTGCTTCCCTCTCCCTTTTTAAAAGGGAATAAAATGTCTGTTGAAATACAAAGTTGTACCAAAAAAGCAGAAGGAAAGACTGAGGGATGCTATTAATAAAGCGAGGGCCCTTGCCAAGAAATGCTGAGTTTTTCAGTGGCCATTTTACCACCCTTGCTTCTTTATTGAACTAAGCTGTTTTTCAATGAGGCTGTCTCATTTTGCAGATGTGGTTCTGGGTGCTGAACATCCTCCCATGTGTTTTGTTTTGCAGGAGGCAGCACAGGAACATCCCCGACCACCTCCAGCACGGGGACCCCATCACCATCCGCTTCTTCTCACCTTCTCTCTCCATCCTGCTCTCCTCCAGCCTTCCATCTGGCCCCCAACACTTTCAATGTTGGCTGCCGGGAGAGTCAGCTTTGCAACCTCAACCTGTCTGATTATCCTCCTTGCGCCAGGAGCAACATGGCAGCGCTGCAGAGCTACCCAGGGCTGAGCGACGGGGGCTACAACCGGCTGCAGAGCAGCAGCGCTTCTGCCTCGCAGCCCTCCGAAACCTTCATGCCTCAGAGGACTCCCTCCTTGATCTCAGGAATGCCGGCTCCTTCCTCCCTGCCCAGCAACAGCAAGATGGAGGCGTACAGTGGCCAGCTGGGATCTTTCCCCAGCTCCCAGTTTCAGTATGTCATGCAAGCAGGCAACCCTGCCTCCACCTCCTCCTCTTCACACATGTTTGGTGGCGGCCACATGCAGCAGAGCTCCTACAATGCCTTCTCCCTGCACAATCCCTACAACCTCTATGGATACAATTTCCCTGCTTCCCCCAGGCTGGCGGCAAGCCCAGAGAAACTCACCACCTCCCAAAGCACTTTACTCTGCTCTTCCCCCTCCAGTGGGGCCTTTGGAGAGAGGCAATACCTTTCCACAGGGATGGATCATGGGATGCACATGATCAGCCCTCCCTCCAGCAACCAGCAGACAGCGGCCGCCTGTGACAACAGGCAGTACGGAGCGGTCCAGGGCTCCTCCTCACAGATGTCTGTGCCCATGGTCTAACAAGCCTTGCCTCTCCTTGGCATCGAAGGCAGCCGGACCTTCATCCTTCCCAGGGGTGAACCCATCCCAGTACTCTTTTGCCTTCAAACTTATAGTGGAACTAGTATTGTAACGATAAACAAGAACATAAGCCATCTAGGTGTGTGCCCCAGAACCTGCTGGAGAGCCTCGACTGACAGCCATCGCAGCTTGTTGTAGCCCAGGGCCTCCAGACTGGCACGCAGCACCTGCTTTTTCTGGACATTGCAGAAAAGAGGGCATGACTTTAGCGAGGAGCTGGAGAGAAGCAGCTGAATTTACTGTTTTTTGCATTAACTTTAGGCAGTGTGAGCTTTCAGCGTGGAGGGATCCATTCCCTGTGCTGTCTCCTCCAATTGTTGAAGAAGGGCAGTCTCCCAGGGCTTCATCCTCTGAGGCTGCGCTGCCAAGGCTCTAAAGACCTCCTCCTTCCCAGACAGTTCCTCACTGCCAGAGTGGCTCAGGCCATTTCTGATACCAGCAAGGCCTGTGGGTCTTCCTTCCACTGTAGCACAGGAATGGCGCTGTGGGGCTGGAGCTTCTTCTGAAGAGGTTTCTCATTCTCACCATGGCTCTGCCCAGCCGGCTGTTTCTTTATGGAGGTCGAGCTCACCAGCACCCAGCCTGCAGATGAAGGTGGGAGAGAGAGGAGAGAAAAGTTTTAGCTCACAAATGAGCCTCAGACAGAAGTGGGGATGGAACTTTGGAAAGGTGAATGGCGGGAGGGGGCTCAGCTCCTGTTGGCTTGACTGGAAGTAATACAGCGAAACGGAATGGATGACAGCCTTTGTGGGGAATGTGTGTCTCCCATAGCACTCATCCCACTGGGAAGAAATTGTCCAGACTGAGCTCATGGGGAAGAGTGATGAGAAAAGAGAGTTCTACAGGAGTGCAGCTGACCTTGCATGCGAGAGTTGCCGTAGAAAACCATTAGCATTTCAGAAACAGTGTGGTTGAGTATTTGCCAACCTTCCACCTGCCACATGGTCTCTGTTTAACCAAATAGATCATTGCCTTTTAACATCTTCTTTTCTGTTTTTTTTCCCTTGTTCTTTTTTTTCCCTTTTTTTCTCTTCAAATCCTTTAAAAATAAGAAAACAATTGTAGCTTGGTGCAAGCTATGCATTTAAGTTGTGTGAAAATGCAAATACCAAGTAACAGAATACAGATATTATTGAGAGTTGTTGTGAGGTGTTGTAGATAAATGTATTTATATGCCTAGTGGGGTATTCAATATTATGAATATAAAAGAGGGCAATAAAAATGGTATGTAAAATATGTATGAAGAAAAAGCTGTATAAAGATTTGCCCTATGCACGGAACTCTGTTTCTAAGTGCCAAGCACAGAAAGCGCTAAATAAATCTTTGCAATTGTTCCTTCTGTGTTCTTCTCTGTCTGTGAGGCTTCCTCAGTGGTTTTCTAGAGACAGACATTTTAAAAATACTGCCACATATGTTTGCACAACAGAAAGGCTGAAGATATGGTGCCAAATTGTGAAGTCCAGGCAATATTGCAATAAAAATAAAAAATTCTGTCTTCTCAAGTATTTTAAAAATTTAGTCCTTGGAGTTTGTAAGTTGTCTTCTTCACAGCAAGTGTCTCAAAATGTTATTTTGATTATTGAAGGAGCTCTTCAGAACAATTTTTCACAGTCAGTACAGTCAATGATACTTAAAAATAGCAATATAGTTTATTTATAATATAAAAATAATTTTAAATTGCAATTTGGGGGAATGTGTCAGTTTTTTATTTGCACTATAATTCTAATATGAGATTGAGACATTAATACTGAAAGCTGTGGGAGGCTGAAGCCCCTTTAAACCTGGCTGTAAGTTATGGCTGCAGAGTTTACAGCTTTCCTTGTGTCAATAAACTTCTTTTCCTCTGAACTGAAAAAGTACCAGAAAGGTAGAAAGACCTTTAAAGATCAATTCTGCAAGCATTTCTTTATTTTTGTTTTTACAAGGGAAGATAAATATACCAATGCCATTCCCAGCTCTGTGCTAGTCTGTCTGACTGTATTCTGCCTCTTACTGTGTCTGGCCTTGGATGCTGCTGAAAAGGGTAGGGGGGATTATGGATGGGGACAATCTGTCCTTCACCTTGTTGTCTTTTGTTTACCCTTATAATGAATTATTGGTTTAATCTTGACCAGGGAGTTTTAGAGCCTTTCTAAAATCCTTTCAGAATCTTTCAGAAATGCCCTTCAAACTGTGCTTTGATTTTTGTTTTTGGGTTTAATTCCATTTTTATGCAACAATTTCTACAGGTTAATAGTATGTTGTGTGAACCAGCATTTCTTTCTTCTGGCTCTTTGCATTAGATTGCTCTTTCTTATTTAATCAGTTTAATTCTTTGTGAGTCAGTCTGTATTTCAGCTAGAAGAAGAGACTCAACAAAATCAAAATCATTGTCTGTATCAAAATACATGTGTCTAATCTGGATTAAACAAAACAAAACAAAAAGAATAAAAAATGATCACTGGAAACAATAGCTCAAAAAAGCAAAACACATATGCAGGGCACAACTCCAATATTAGTGTGAAGAACTGGTATCTAAGTTTCCACACATTTTTGTAGGAATCCATGGGTAAGAGCTTTGGAATGGTCACCCAGACTCTTTAGCAGTGTGATCCTTCATGTTATTGAGTACTTTTTCCCCTGATCCTACCATATGCTTCAGAAAATCTTACTGCATTAGTACAAATTGAAATTCCTTTTAGTATGAAGCATATTGACCCCAGGGTGAGCATTCATGGACCCTACTTATAGACATATTTATTTAACTCTTATGGGGCACATAAATAAAATGAGAGAGCTTAGATATCTAGATAGTAGTTATTCCTTAGTGTTTTGTTGCTGCAGGGTCAGAATAGTCAGCATCAAAACTGAAAAAAATAGGAAAAAAATATGAGAGGCTTCCCTGTTCCAAGATGTAAAGTTGTAAGTACACAAATAATTGTTGGTGTGAAAGTTGCACTGACAGTTTATGAGGATTAAAAACAAGGTAACAGTGAAATGGGCAAAAAATATTTCACTTTTTCCTTGGCAGTCACTGGGCAAAGTGAAACCAGAACAGTGTTTGGGAGACAGTATCAGAAATAATGGGACAAATTTGTTGAAATTATTTATTTAGTGCTTGTTTAGGTGCACAATGGTAACACTCCCCTGAGCAGATAACCTGCTTAAGGCCTTGACACCACCCCAGAAAAATCCCATGAGCATTGTATTTGAGGTGGACCCAGGTGTGACAGGAGTCTCCTGTACAGCAGTGGCTCTTCTCCCCCTGCCACCCACGTATGGCCACAGGGCCCTGAGCCATTTGCCACTTCTTACTGGGGCTTCCCAGAGAGAGGAGATAGCAGGGGAGAATGGGAGAGATGCACTGGGATCAGTGTGAGATCAACCATGTCCAGCTGGCCTGGTGGGCAGCCCGGGTGGCAGAACACCCAGCAGCGACCCCCGGCAGGCTCCCTTTCCTTGGGTGACTGCCCTGACCACAGGGCTTGGGAGCCCTCCTGGCATGGTCCCCTCTGATCCAGGAGCCCTTTGATGGCTCATTTGCACAGCATGTGTGTGTGGGTGGCAGAGGCAGCAGTGCTGTGGTTCCTGTCTCCTTCCTTCCTTCCCTACTTTACCACGAACATTTGAGTGCTTTGGGCAGTTAAGCAGCTTTGGGATGGAAGTTCTCACATGTTTCTTTAGAACAGACAGTGCAGGAGGGCAGGGACCTTATTAATTTTCCCAGTGCAGGGAAGGCCACCATGTAACATCTCATTCAGAGAAGCCACACAAGGAACAGGTGTCCTGCATGCAAGCCCCCAGCCACAAGTTTCCTCTGGCATATGGATGTCATTTAACACCAGAGGATCCACCCAGAGCTGCAGAAGCCAGAGAGTCTCAACTCTACCTCTCCTGGGCTGGCCCATTTGGCCTTAGCCCATGCAGGCTTCTGGTTTCCAGTCCAGGAGAAAAGAAAGCTCTGTATCTCCCAGTTTGCTGCTGCAAATCTAAAAGGTCAAATATCATGTACCTCTCTGAAGAAGTATCCCTTTGTAAAAGCTGAATCCAAATCACAGAAGGAGTAATGGAAATCTCAATGATGGGAGATCCCTCATCTTACAACACAGGCTGTTCCAAGTGCAAATCTGACAACTTGTTACAGAAATAAAAAGAATGGCACAAAAACAATCAGGGTGGGTTTGCAAGCTCTGCAGAATTTATTTAGCTTCATTCCTTAGCACACTGACAGGCACAGGACATAAATATTATCACAGTCAGTGCAGCTCAGCAATGCCAGGACACTGCAAACCAGGGCAACACAGTGTTCCCAGAGGAAATGTAAGCACTATGTGCTAAAGCAAAATGTTTAGGGCACAAACATAAGTGTAAATTAAGTTGTACAGGCTGTGACACTCTCTGAAGAATGTGAGAGGCTGGAAGGATTGCTGGTTTGAAACATTCTGTGTGTGTGTGTAAGGGGTAAGGGGTAAGGGCAGGTCAGGTCTTGCCCTGGAGAGGGGATGCCCTGCCCTGCCCACCATATTACTAGAGTCTGTATCCCAGCCTGGCAGTGGCTCCCTATCCCTGGCACATCAGAGGCAATGCAGTCATCTCTGGAGCCCCTAATCCAGCTCCAAAAATGACCAGAAGTCCCACATGGAGGAAAGGCCCAGGGAAGCCAAAGGGTATTTAACCCAGGACATGCAGCAAGGACATGTCTTGACCCTACATCCTCTTGTAATTTCTATCAGCTGAACACTGCAGGAACCAGGAGTGGTGGCTATATTTGTCCTTTTCTATATCTTTTCTGTCTTTCTTTCTTTCTTCTTCTAATTCCCTCTTACAGGAATTTTGAGTAACTTAAAATCGAATGGGCTTAGAGTTTGCTGAGTTGAATGGGCCAAGTTAATGCTCTGGGAACTGCTTCATATTTTTGGGGCCTTACAATGCACTACAGCAAAAATTGCAGAAGATGATCT